CAGGGTAGGCCACCACATCAGCACGCCTGCTGAGCTGGTGGCCTTCCTTCCGTCCTGTCCTTTTAGTCGTGCCCAGGTTGGTAACAGTGCAGAGTAGCCATCACGTTGGGAACAGTGTTTTCGGACGGTCAGTGGGCATTCCCTTTTGTTGTGTGACCATCTAAACTGAGAAGATCTCTCTCTCTCTCTCTCTCTTTCGTTGTGTTCCTATAAAGAATTTCATTTCAAACGTACACGAAAGGGAAGACCATCGGCGCCATTTTAATTCAAGTTAAAGTGAAATTATTTATTGGTTTTATCCTTCTTAAAACAATATATAAAGACACCCCCCTTAAATATACGATGGGGTATACTAATTGTGTGGTACCTGGTTGTAAAAATAAACCAGACAAAGGTATACTATTTAAATATTGGCCCCAAAACCCAATTCTTGCCGCGCAATGGCATGAATATTTGCCACATATTATACCAAAACCAAACCGCACTGCTGTCTGTGAGGTAAATAAATTTACTATTGAACTTCTTTCTCTTTTATAATGTAATTAACTTTTTATCACTTTCTTTAGAATCATTTTGAAGAATGCATGTTTACGGATGTAAATAATCAAACAGAAAGAAAACTCAAGTTTTCTGCTGTTCCTTTCAAATTATACTCAACCAATTCACCTTTGGTAAGTATTGTAAGGTTCGGTACTAAAAGGAATAGACGAGAAGTATGCTGAGACCAAGGGATTTATTGGACGATACTCAGTACAAGGGAACGTCTAGCTGGCACGAGAGCTCAGGCAAGACTGAAGCGCGTCGGCTTGGTTGTTGTGGCGTTACTAGGGACACACTGCGAGAGCCTTGGGCGAGACTAGACTGACTCGAGGCGGACAGTCATGAGAATGACAGCAGTGCGTTAACTACTGGTTTAAGGCCCTAACATTACAGTATCTACTCATATGATAAGTATAAACAAAGTAACTCACATATAGTGCTTGCTTGTCATTTTGAAATGAACAGGTTTTACAAGGATCAATACATCAAGAAGACAGTTCAATATTTCCAATTTATTTCGGAGTCCAATGTTGTGCAACAAGCATTACTGCATGCTGCTACAGTTCAGTACATGAACCAGATTTATGGACTTCTGTGGATGTTGATGCTTGTATTTATGTAAGTAGTTTCAAGTTATAAATTAGTAAAATTAAAGGTAATTGTTTACTTTAGTGACTCCTCGCCCTGGAGTCACTCAAGTATACCATCGGAAAAGTATTTTTCAGTAGAATCCTGAACAGTATTTATATATTGGCGCTCGAGTCTGGTTTTCCTCAAAATTAAACTAGGTAGATGTACGCCAGACCACGTCTGGCGCACATATAGCTAGGCCTGCGGCGCTGACACCCCAGACGAGTTAAATTTTACGATTTAATAGACCATTTTGTCGTTTTCACCTTATTTTCGCCAAGAAATGCTCCCTAGCACCCAAACGGTGCGAGATAGAGCAAAACGGACAAAATTTTCGCCCAAAGGGTTCTACTTTCACGAGTT